ATGTCGCATTGAAAATAAAATAAAATAAAATCTCATTCACCTGTCGTCCCATGTATCCGTCCCCTGGCTGGCTCTCAGCCTCTCAGCCACTACCAGCGTGGAGCTTGGAGCGTGGAGCTTGGAGCGTGGAGCTTGTGAGGGTGGCTGGCTTGTGGTGGGTGGCTGGCTGGCTGGCTGGCTGGCTCAGGCATGTCCTGGCCAGAGTTCAAATACGACAACGATGCGGTCTGAGGGGCGCTCGCAAAACAAACGAAACTTAATTAACAAAAGGAAAAAACGTATAGGGAATGGTCAGAGGGAGCACCCGGGGACCAGTACAAGGACCAGTGCCCGGGTACCCCCGGTACACCGTTACACAAGGTACACCGTTACCGGTTCGGTTCGGTTCAGTTACGGATTCGGTTTTTTTCCGTTTGTTTCTCCTGTGTGTGTTTGTGTGTGTGTGTGTGTGTGTGTGTGTGTGATTTTTCGTTTGCCGGTTCGTTTATGTCTATGACTGGCTGGCACTGTCCTTTCTCTCCCTCTCTTGCTCTCTCTCTCTCTCTCTGTCTGGTTATCCGGTTATCCTCTTCCGAGGAGAACTATATCAATGCGTATCTATTGGTTATGTACTTTGTGGTGTGGTGTGGGGGGAGTGGGCTGGAGGTGGGGTTGCTGCTACACATGCAAAGCGTTCTGCTTTTTTGGGTCCTTTTGTCCCTCGTCGCACAGTCGACTGTCGACTGTCGTCTATGGCTATGGCTATGGCTATGGCTATGTGTTTTTTTGGGCCCATAATCGATGGCCCGTTCCCGTTCCCGTTCCCAAGCCCTCCCAACACTCGATTCGATTTTTGCGGGTTCAGGTTTCGGGGGTCTGCTGAATTTATTGCATTTTGTGTTTGTTTAGAGCGATTGCCATGTCGCGATGTATTTGCAAATGAATTCGATTCGAGACAACACACACACACACACACACACACACACCGCAAAGGTACAGTTGTGCCCGTTCAGGTTAGTTTTGGCAATCGGCTGGCTAGCACTGGACGTTGTACCTACCTACGTACCACATCCTGTGACTCGTTCGCGTGGCTTGCCTGGATGTGTACCTATGTATGTACATATTTGTATATTGATTCATATTCTCAATAGTTGCGTGAAAGGGAAATGGAAGTGGCCTCTGTGTGGGCTTTCTTTTTTGGATAGAAGATTCCCTAATGCGGAAAACATCACGAAATGAAAAATGCAAAATGCAAAATGCAAAATTTATTGCTTGAAATTACTGCTAAAATGTTTCCAGTTTCCTTCCAGAATTATCATCGTAATTCCTAATTTTAGATTTAATTCCAAGAAAGTTCTGGCATCAGAAGTTTGTGTAGAACTTAAAGCATATTTTGGTGTATCATTTAAAGCTGTTTCATATATTCCTAGGAAATGCCCCACCAGTCTCTCTCTCTCTCTATATGATCCCATCTGCCATTTTTATACTCGTGCAAATAGATCAAAGTTGAATGTCGTAAGTATCCAGCCAATGCCCCCCTCTAAACCTCTTTCTAGTGTCTCCTTTCACATCCTGTATTTTTCTGTACATTTCCATTCCGCTCTGCAGTTTGCATTCTTCCCTGATCTCTACACAGATCTACACTTCCATTACCCCTTACTGGCTATGTCTGCTATTTGAATTACTTCCTTGGCTTTTGGTACCAAATCTTTATACATATATTCTACATACGAGTATAGAATATAGCCCTCCTGTGGTAATCCCCATTTATCTATAATGCCGCTAACATTTATGCACAAAATTCTGCGTAATTAACCCGAAAAATATGGACAGAGAGGCGACTGCGGTGGCCGTGTGTCCACCACACAAAAAGTACGTGAAACATATTAACCAGGATCCCCCCCCCCCCCATTCTCCTTACCGCTCTAGGCCCCAAACACACACACACACACACACGCACACACACGATAAGTTTGCCGCCAGCCTCTCATCGCAGCTCTAATACCAAAAAAAAAACAAGGAAAAAAAAACAAGGAAAAACATTTTACCAAACGAAGCGCCGGACAGTGCTCTCTGGCAGCGACGTCGCGTCTATGTTCGCGTTGACGTCGACGTCGATGCTGCGTCAGTTGGCTGTTAACAAGCTTAAAGCCTCATTTATGCAGTTATGTTCCACCCCCTCCGCGCCAGCCCATCCAACACACACACACACACACACATACGTAATCCCTTACGCACACACACTCTCTATTGCTTTCTCTCCTTCACTCTCTCTTGCACTCTATCTCTCTCTCGCTCTGTTTCTCTCTTACAAATGTGCTTCATCAATATCCTTTGCTTTTTGCACACAAAAACGCAACAACAACAACAACAACAACAAAAAAGAAAGGAAAGCAAAAACAAAAACTTTAGAGGGGATGACGACGTGCAGTAGGTGCACTAACACACACACAGTCCCACCCCCTACGGCCCCAACACTCCACAATGCCGCCCATCAATAATCCCCAAAAATTTTTACAGGAAAGGTCGACGCTGGCGTCGGCAGCAGCAGCAGCAGCAGCAGCAGCGGCTTTTTACGCGGCATGTCCGAAGCAGAGACGAGAAGCAGTCCAAAGAAGCAGCAGCAGCAGGAGCAGCAGCAGCAGCAGAAAAACAGCAACAGAGCAACACAGAGAGGAAGAGCAACGAGTGAGGGGGTGGGACGGGTGCCGGTGTCGGTGTCGTGTCGTGTCCCTAGCCCTGGCTTCATGCATGTCGTGTCCAGCCGTTTGAACCAATCCTAACTAGCGCCTCTTTTGCGTGGGTGTGTTGCAGGCGTAGGCGTGGCCAGTCGGCCCAACTGCGGCTGCGGCTATCATACAACGCCAGCGACGGTGCGTGCAGAGGCGCAGGCCGAAGGTCTGTGGCGGCGGCACTCTGGAATGAAGGTGTAAGGGCAAGGGAATGGACACACACACACACACCACACACACACACACACACATGGTGAAAGACAGTCAGACAGAGTGCAGGGCATGCAGAGGCAAGGGCGCCCCAAAAGCAGTGCAGTCAAACGTTGTCGAATCCTCCCCTCCCCTCCCCTCCCCACCTGCCCACTTACTGTCGTCGTCGTACTGTCGCTCTCTCTCTCTCGCATTCGGTCTGGCTCTCTTACGCCTAACAGCTGGTCAGCATTGCAAAAAGTTTTTGCGCTCGAGCAACGGCACTTGACTCGACTCGACTCGACTCGAACTGCACGCGCTCACGTCACGTCACGTTCGGTGCGACTAACTCTCTCTCTCTCTCTCTCTCTCTCTCGCCCTCTACTGCTTGCTTGGGTGATACTCTCTTTGGGCTTGATTGCTGTTGTGCTCCTTTTCGTGACTCTCTTTGGGCGCCTTCCTGTGCATTTGAATGCTGCTTGAGGGCTCTCTTTGGGCTTTGCATTGTGCTGCCACTGCCGCTGCTGCCGCTTGCGCTGACGCTGACTGCGCGGCTAGGCTTGAGTGAAACTTCAGTTGCAGCAGTTGCGCTCTCTCTCTCTCTCTCTATCTCTCCTTCTCTTTGGCAGTGCGCGCTCTCTTGAGCTTTTGCTGCAGTTTGCTGCTCTTTGCTGCTGCTGCTGCTGCTACTGCTGCAACACGAAATGTTGCAAGTGTTGCCATGTGCCCACATTCGTCCTCTCTCTATCTCGCTTGCTGTCTCATTCTCCTTTGTTGTGTTTATGCGTTTTTTTTCAAGTTGCTAGAAACAACTTCTCACCCCCTAACCCTACCCCCACCCCCACCCCTGCCACTACCCTACTCCCATTAGTGCCACCTCTGGAGGCAACCCTTGTGGCAGTCAAATTACATGCACGTAACGGCACTTGGAATCAATTTGGCGCCTCATCGATAATGCAGGAGTCCTCATACAACCCCCCACTCCCCTTCACCCACCCACCCACCGTCACACTTTAACAAAACAAAATGGCGCCCATCAGTCAAAAACAACAGTTTAGTCCCCTCTTAAGCGGTCCCCCCGAACCACCCACCGAACGTGCACTGTGCACGAAGCTTTTCTTTAATTCATTTTTTAATGGCACAACAATTTGGGAAATTTCTTATTTACTTTCGAGTGGTATTTTCTTTTTTTTTCCAACTTTTTGTGCTCTGCCAAATTGCTGTCACCCCCCCCCCCACACACACACACACCCCCACCGAGCCCCTAGGAAGCTCCAAGCCACCCCAATCCCTGCTGCAGCTCCTGCCACTCCACCTGCCATGTTGACTGTCGAATTATTTTGATGTCAGACCGGCGAAAAAATAAATAAACTATTAATTTGCCTTAATCGACATGAAGAGTCGGCAAATAAACACATTTTGGCTACCCACTCCCCCACAAACCCCCCCCTTCTTGGCATGTGGCACGTTGCACACAGAACACACACTCTACAACCGGGGGAATACAATGGCAGTGGCGGATCCAATGGCAGCAGGGTATGAAGTACCGCTTACTATTTATATACAAATTCTAGATAAATAATTTATGGAAAAATTCCAAACATCGATTGTTGTTGTCGGCTTACGTGGGTGGGGGTGGGTGGTGACTGGAGGGGTGGGGGGCAGCAAGCGGGATATTGCTCCTATTATTCGCCCCATTCATTCATTTATTTTTGCCAATTATTTCACTCTTCAATTGCATAAAGCGAACTCCCTTCATTAAATGCTTGTTGAATAGGTTTACATTGGATAATAGATGGGCAGAAACATTGTATTCGTATAATGGAAAGAAGGAAAAAACAAATAGCTGAAAACCTATGCAAAATATACACAAAATAAATGCCCCAAATATAAGTCGGAATTATGAATGCAAGCGATCGAACTATTATTTATGGCTACTTGCTACAGCCCTTACTCTAGTCAAGAATAAATGTCAGCATATGCTGTCAGAAAGTAGAATTATTAGACTCGGTTAGGCAGAATCTTTAAATTTTATTTCTAATTTCCCATTTCGAGTTCGTTCAAAATTTACAAGTTCCCAAATATATTATACACCGCGATATGTCTTCGTTTTGGCAATTAAACTACCAGCAATGCCAAACGCTGGATCTGTGGCTGCAGACCTACGGCGTGCTGCTGAACCATCGGACACGTCACGAGTTCAGTGACGTTCTGCCAGTGGCGAGACTCTTCAATAAGGTGCATCCCGGACGCGTGAACCTGAGCCGATATGTGTCCAGGAACAGCGTGGCGCTGAAGACAATCAACTGGCGTATTTTCAATGCCAGAGTACTGAGGAAAATGAACATGGGCCTGACGCAAGCCGATGAGGATAAGTTGGCCAGGGGCGTGGAGTGGATCCAGGATGCGCTCCTCTACCAGCTGATGATGACTGCTGTTGAGTGCGTGAAGGTCGGGCAAGAGGATGTCTTCCCCGGCAACACTGCGCCCAAAACCAAAAAGAATATTAAAAGTGAAACATAAATGGGCATGGCAATGGGCAATCTGCTGTGGGAAGTACACGATGCTAACAAGATTATGGTTAAGTGGATGATTTCGTCTTACTTGCTGTGGGTTGTTTGTGCTGCTGCCAGCAGAGCTGCTGAATTGCCCATTCCCGATGCGACACGGTTTAATCACAAAATATGTAAATTTGCTGGAACGGTGGCCAAGCAAAAAGGAAAGCCCTAAAAAATATTCACGACATTGCAATTGCCTGGCAAAGGTTCTTCTTTTCCCCCGACATCTGGCTGCTGGATGAAAGTTTTGAAGGCAAATTCAATAAAGGTTAAATGGCAGTGTGAAGGAAAATATATTTATTCCTGCCAAGAATTGCTCACATACCTTGGATACAGGTGAAATATTTCTTACTTTAGAATGAATATTGCGCTTATGCAAACATTTATTTTAATTACAGAATAAATCTTACAAGAGATGGCTGAACCAAAGGAAAATAAATATTCAGCAAATAAATTGTGCAGAAATATTAGTTAAAGAAATTAAATAATCAAACTAATTGTCTATGCAAAGTATTTGCTGTTTTTCAGTCGAGTTGGATGGTGCCAGATAAATATATACGAGTATTAATGGATGGATATGTTCAATCAGCGGTCGAGTCAAGTCAATTCCATCTGTGAATCTCTTGGTCCCCCAATTGCTTTGGCATTCAAAATTCCAAAATTCGAACAAATAAATACTGTACTGTAAATACTGTTCCCTCTCCACGTGAGAGTCGTAGCATATATATTTCTGCTGCTTAAATTAAATGCTTTTCATTGTTGAGGAGCTATTTGCCAACTTGCAGGACGCCAGGACGCGCCTCCCATCTGAATAGAATGCTCTGCTCGGCCCCTTTGGGGGCTGGCTGCTGTCTGCTGTCTGTTGTCTGTTGCTGGCCGTTGAATGGCTTTGTCAAACAACTAATTAAATGAAATTACACAGTGGTAATGCATTTTTCGTGTATTGACCAACAGCTGGACAAGCATACAGTGAAAACCACTCGCTGGGGAGGGACAGAGAGAGGTTCCAGTAGGGACAGCACAGCACAGCACAGGACATGCAGTGAGACAGACTGTCAGAACGCTGGTCTGGGTCTGGGTCTGGGCTTCATGCAAAAGAGCAGCAGCGCATACCTGCGGGTAAAGCTGGAAAATGCTGGATGCTGCTGCATGGGGGAAGGGGGTTGGTGCCAGGGGGTTGCTAGGGGGTTGGCTGGTGGGAGAGTCGAGTGCAAACTAAACCAAGTCTCCGAAGGCAGCAACTTAACGCTTCAATAAATTTTCGTAGCCATGTCGCTGCAGCCATCAATAAGGTCCTTGTGCACGCAGCTCCCCCACGTTCGGTTGTTGGGTGGTTGGAAGAGCGATGGGTGGCTGAATTGGTGGTGGGGGTGGGGGAGGGGTCCACCTACTTGGTCTCCTTTGGCACGGAAATGCGTTAAGTTTGCGCTGCAGCACGTGACGCTGCTAAGCCAAAGCTGCCACACAACGGCACGCAGGGAACCCTGAAAACGAAAGATTGCAGGCGGAATGAAGTGGGCAAAGCGGGGCATTGGGAATAGAGTGCTCCTCCCCAGACATCAGCCAACAGCCACGACCCCATCCGCACCACCCACCACCCACAAGCCACCAGCCACCACCCACCATCAACGACCGACCCACTGAGCCACCGAGAGCGATAAGAAGGACAAAAATTAATGGAATTTCTGCCTGTTTTTGCAGTACCCTAAAATCCACGCAGACCAATGGCTGGGTAGCCTCGAACAGCCGCAAACGTTGGCAGCGACACAAAACGAGCGACTTGAAATAAAAAAATAAAATAGTTTGGAATGCAAGATCTATGGCCTGCACATGAGACAAAAGCGAAGTGGATCAATTGCTCCATGGGTGCCCACGGCCAGCAGCACCAGATCCATATCGGATCTGTCCCCTGTTCAGTGCACTCACCACGGGAATTTTGGAATAGTTTTCAGCACGCTGCTGCTGGGCTTGTAAATGCTGGGATCCACCAGATGCTCGTATGTCTTGTCCACGAGTCTGGCCACGGGCAGTGCCACTTCTCTGGCCACTTGTCCAGCGTCTCGCGTTTCTCTGGGTACACAAAATGTTTGTTCATTGCTGGGCAGATTTTTACAAACAGTTTTTGGAATTTTAGCATGAAGCAAGGAACGCATCTGCCATAGGCATTCAATTTATTCGCTTTTCTTTGCGAGTTTTCTCGATTTACAAATGGTTTTCCATTGCATTATTTTTTTATACTTCCCTTGGCATTATTTTCGCTTTTGTTAGTTATATTTTTCAATAACCAAAAAGTTTTTTTATTCACTTATTTCATCCATTTGATTCAGGCCTAGTTCCTTGGCCGTTACTCCCTCCGATCTTGCACGTTTCTGGCTCCATTCTTATTTATCCTTTGCTTTTAAATTGTTCTTCCCAGTTCCATTTCCTGCTCATATGATATCCGCTTTGATTATCTTCATTTTCATGCTTTCCTTGCAATTTTCTTCATTTCCATTATGCCTTGAGAATTCTCTTTGTTTATATAGTTCCATTACGCTGTTAGTTCTTCCATTTGCATCATTTCTTCCCACTGCTTTTGCTCTTTTCTAGGGCATACAGCGAGTCTCCATTGCTGCCACTTGATTTGCTCGTTTCCTTGGCCTTTTGCTTGAGCTCCTTGGGCCTGCTACCCCCTACCGCCCTCCCCCAGCCATCTATATGGTGCACCTCTGCCCCAATCCATTTTCCCCTGAGATGTGTCGGGCTCCTCGCTGCTGCTGCTGCTGCAGCTGCAGCTGCTTTTGGGGCTCTTTTCGGTTGCTGCTTCCTTGGGCTGCTTTTCAGTTCAGTTTGTTTTTACGACGAGGTTGGCGCAAAAAACAACACACACACACACACACACACACATACACAGGCGAAAAAGGAAAGGCTGAAAAGGAAGTAAAAACTCAGTGCTGTGGAGTAGGAGGAGGAGGTGGCGGTGGCGGTTTTGTCCCTGGGTTTTTGGGGGTGGAGTGGCAAACATCGTTTTTGGCTCCTGACTCCATCAGCGTCAGCGTCTCCGACGCGTCGTTGTACGTGTCCTGGCAGCTGCTGGCTGCAGTTTTCCTTCGCGACCATCTACTCCTACTTCTCCCTCTCCCTCTCCCTCTGCTCCCTCTCGACCACCCTTCGTTTTACTTGCCTCAGTCTTTGCCTGCCATTTTCCGTGCCTGCCCCCTGCCCCCTGCGCCTCTGCGCCTCTCTTCTACTCTTTTTCTCCTATATAAAATGTTTTTTTGTTCTCGTTTTTTTTGGCCATCGTTTACGTCGGCAATTTTGCAGTTGATTGCAATTTTTCGGGGGCTGCGCCATTTTTTTTAGAGTCACCCCACCGCTCACCCGCCTACCGCCTACCGCCCACCCCACAAAACCCACTCAACCTTCCAGCCCGCCCTGAGCCACTTTCGACTCTGCAGCAGCCTCCTCATCCAGCAACCAACTACTGTGCCCTGTGCCCTGTCTGTGTCTCCGTTCCTTCTTTTTTCCGGGGGGTTGCACACCCTTCGGCTACGTGACATTGCGTATACGTCCAGTGCGCCTACAGTTTTTGGCTCCTTTGGCTGCTGGAAACTTTTTAGCCCCTTCCATTTTGGGAGCATGGACCAAACCTGGCCAACGGAGTGCCGGCAGGGGGGTGGCGGGTTTTGGCGGGGGGGCAGACTAACATTATTTTCAATTAGGGCGCCGCGGCAAACATAGTTTATCATCAAGTTGACGCGACGCTGTCAGTGCTTATAAATAATCGACTCGAGCGGCCATTTTGGCCAAGGCTCGTACTTCCTTCTCCACCCTGCTGCTGGCTGCTGCCTCCCCTGACTTTTCTCCGCCCGCGCACAGCATAAATTTTGGATGCAATCTCCAGCAAGAGAGAGCGAAAGACAAACTCAGACTAAGGCACATAAAAATAGCAGACAAAACAACAACAAAAAATATATATATATAAAATGGCCAAAAACTGAAGGGAAATATATAGAAAAAAAAGCAACAGCAACAACAAGAAAACAATGCAGCGTTGCACACAGGCACACACGACACGACACGACACACACATGTGGCACGCCTCCTGCCTCCCGCCTCCGCCCACTGCGTGTTGTGGGGAAAACTAAAAGTTTTTGCCATGTCACTTCATTCGTTGGGCTTGGCTTTGGCTTGGGCTTGGGCCGCCTCCTGCTTCAGGTCCTACAGCTCCTTTTTTTTCGGCACATTTACGCCCAAAACACACACACACTAGGAGTTCATAGAGAGAAAGAGATAGTGAGTGAGTGAGTGAGAGAAAGAGTGAGAGAAAGAGAGAGTCAGAGAGAAAGAGCTAGAGGAGGAGCAGTGCCAGTGGCAGGGTCCAGGTTCCAGGGTCCAGGCAAGAGACATTTGTCACGTGATGGATTGCAATGGGAGTGACATTTTTATTTCACTGATGGACGACAGCGCACGAAATGAAGCGCAGGATGAGCTCCGCACAGAAGGAGGAGAAGCCAAAGCCAAAGCAAAACCCAGGGGTCAGGGGAGTAGGAGTGGCCTGCCAAAGGACATGCTGGCACAGTAGAATGGACACAGGGAAGTCAAGCTTAAAACAAGACGCACCCAAACGGAAGCTGAAACAGCGACACACACACACACACACACACACAAAGAAGAAAGAAGATGTGGAAGGGGGGAAAAAAAGAGAGGGAATATATGTATATTCCCCCAGTTGCCAGGATTGCACCAGCGGCTAATCCTAGTTGCATCGAACAGGCTTTGACGTAACATACCAAAAAGTCTGTCAAATAAAATTCCCCTCCAAAAATTCCTGCTAGTAATTTTGCTTTAAATAAATTGTTATTGGGCATCAACAAAACCCTCAACGCCGGGCATTAACTCTGGCTGTACAATTGCTCCATGGGCGCCCACATGCAAATGTTCCAGTTTCAGATCCCTGCCGCATATCGCATAGCCCCATTAGCA